CCCTTCAAGCCCAGCCAATTTTCCTATGCTCCCTTTGGTTCAGCCCTGCCTGCTACACCATTCCTGCCCCACACCTGCTCTGCGATCCGCAGCAGCACAGTCCGAAAACCAACACGATGAACTCCATCCTCAGGAGGGAAATACGTCCCCCCAGCAAAGGGCTTGAGGTCTGGGGTCAGCCAGACACTCATGGGCCAACCACCTCCACCACTGGTGGCCTGAAAGATAAAACACATGAGCGCCAAGGTCATTCAAGAGGCACCTGCTCTGTGCCATTCCAGCACATCCAAGAGCCTCACTCAAAGACAGATGTCTGCTTCTGCCCACCCTTGTGACCCATCCAGACCACCCCATACACTGGTTCCGCTTGCCTGAGGAACATGACAACGAACAACACCCTGAGGGAGCCAATCAAAGCCTCCTGGGGCCTGCCCACGCCTCCCTCACCTGCACAAAGGTCATGTACACTTTGTCCACATCTGGCCGCTCCTCACGATCCACTTTGATGCACACAAAGTGCTTGTTCATGATCTCCCCGATCTCCTTGCTCTTGAAGGACTCCTCCTCCATGACATGGCACCAGTGGCAGGTGGAGTAGCCAACTGCAAACAAGCTCAGGTGGGTGAGGAATAGTCCTTTGCAGGGAGCAGGAAACATGTGATGGGGAGAACACTCAAGAGATGGGGACCCTTGCTATGGGCAGCAACTGCTGCCTCCCTGGACAAGAGACGGAGGAGAAAAGTCTCCTGAATTCTCCAGTTCTTGCTCCTAAATACTGGCCAAGGACTCTGGTCCTGCATGTAGCCCATATTCAGAGAGAGCTACTCCAGCACTTGGTCCTCTCTTGCTTGGTGGCCATCCATATCTACATGGCTACTCACATACCAGCTTGGGATGCAGCTCAGCTTATCTGATCATCTACTGACCGACACGTGGGGACATGAAATATGCCTTGTTTCTGGTTACCTGACAGGAATATCAGCTTATTTTCTGTCTTTGCTTTATCAAAGGCTTCCTGACCCCAAGGGTACCTGTGGGGGGAAGACAAGAGTCCCTCAACC